CAAATTTGTGAACGGGGATAGACGGATTTTGCTGTTTCATGGTAGGATCCTTTTGCTTATGGGTTGTGATAGAACACAAACTGATGAAGTGTTTCGAGTTTGACTTTGAGTTTATTGATCCTTACTCACAGATAAAACTGAGGAAATGCAGAATTTACATCATTTCAAAATCGTTAAACACTAACTTAAGTGGTTTGCAGTCACGCAATGCTACCCTAGCCATGTTCACCTCCTTGAGCTCCCTGACCATCACTGGCCTCAATACTGACTGACTACAGCAGAGAGAATGTGTTGGAGTGTAGGAGAATAGCTGCCTCCGCCGCTCTGTCTCACTGTATGGATTATACACATTCACAATATGAGGAGAGAACTTGTCATATCCTATATACAACATTTAAGGGTGATTTTATAGACGTATTTGAGTGTTTATGGTCTTTGATCAATGCCTTTTGCAAATAAAATGTATAACAAAAAAAAAATATTTTATGAATGCCTATGTGTGCAGTTTTGAAAAGGGGTTAATTTAATTAACTTTTAGTTGAGCGGTTTGAATAAATAAAAACGTTTTGATTTTTAGTCTTCACAATATTGTCAGGGGTTCTCTGTTGAATGACTTGCTTGTTTTCCTTGTTTTAAAATATGAATAAATTAAACGTTTATTCCTGCATTATATTTAATGTTGTCAAACTTTTGCCATGATGTGTGTGGGGTATTGAAAATCTTCCTAACGTTAATATTTAGACAACCACTGTATTACTCATGTTCTTATGTATCATTTATAATTGATTAATAATTGCACCGTGAACACGATCCAGGCCCTGAGGTAAACAATAATTGTATCACGTAGGCCTAATCAAAGATGTAAAAAAGAAAAGACTAAACACGTATTGTAAATGGCCTAATTAATATATAATACATAGTTAATTAATTATTGTGCATTATGTATAACAGGGTTTATATTAGGGCCTATAGTCAAATGCAATTCAATTTAATTTATGCTAGCTAGCCTGCATGCGAAAAATGCCAGGGATCTCTGCATGGTCCCTCTGATGTTTCGCATCAAGCCCTTCCTTCCAATAAATGAACTTTCTCACTCCGTCCTCCTGTATATTAGACATGACAAGCATTGGCAATAACAAGCGCCAAGCATTTCAAAGCGTATTTATGGGATTTAAACGGTGGTTCTAAATGGCTGTAATTCATACGAGCAGGTGAGTTGTATTAAAATCTCGTAAAAGTCCCTTAAATCCAGCTTTTAGCCTGTTCTCTATCAGTCGACATATCGGATGAGTTTAATGCTGAAATAAATTCAGTTGAGGCGGTTGTTACGCTTAGCTGCTTAGGCCTATCTGCATTACGCTATAGCTCAGACCATTGCTGCTGTATGGGTCATGACGGACAGAGAGGGGGGTGATGTGAGCTTGTTACTGGGGTCAACAACGATAACGGCCAGCCCTGCTGTAAATCCAACCAACAGGACATTGCTGGATTGGGGAATTGTTGGAAATAGCCAAATGGTTCGCTAATGAGACCTCATGAGAGCTTGCATGGAGGGGAAATTGAGACGTGTCCGCTTTTCAGCCTATTTCACGTATTTTTAGGGCCTATAGGCCTATATGTTGTGCACGTTGTAGGCCTGTATGGGATTTTATCCTAGTTGTATGTCTTATAAGTGATGTGGCCATCCAGGGATGCATTTTAATCTGTTTGCATTTCGAGGTTGTTTTGGGATGTCAAGAAATTCACACACACAAAAAACGTATATTTTCAACGTTTATAGCCCATACCACAAATAACTGACATCTTGTATGAGTACAGGATATCCGAATAACGTCTCAATATTTTCATATAAAGATTATGGGTTATTACCAAGACCTGTCAGATCTCTACATATGTTTTGTTTGTTTTTACATATTATTTGAGATTATCTTTGTAATGAAAAGCGCTATATAAAATAAATATATTACTTTTACCATGATTAGGCAATACAGAACTATTATTATTTTATGTCGTATTATTTTGAGATATCTACATTTGTAGGTCTATTTCGCTTAATTGCATGGAAAAAGTGAGAGTTTTTGTTAATTTAATTTAATTGTCACGCAAATAGCACTCGCAATGACATTCCCCAATCGACGGTTTAGTTCCACCGAATTTATATCACGTTCATCAAGCACTTCTCTCACGCTCAAATATTTGGCTCTGCATAACTTGTATTTATTTATACGAAATTCAGTTTCAGTTTCAAAGGAAATCAGAGAGGAGAGGAGGGGTTTGTAGCAGGAGTTTGACCAAGTGACCTACAGGCTAATTATATGTCATTAACTGGAGACTGGACGTATCTAAATGACTTAAAGAACTTCCATTCAGCCAGATGAATTACACACCACTACCCCCACATACAACACTTAAACAAATATAAATCATGGCCCCTTTGCCGTCCTTTTTTCTTGTACACATTCTCTCTCCTTCCTCTAGTCTGACACACATATCTAGGCTACACACACACACACACACACACACACACGTTCAACATGCGGTGTGTGGGCTGAATAAGATCTGCCGAGGAATGTCCAAATAAAACAGCTCTTGTATGCCAACTCGTTTATTCTGACCCCCATATGGTCTGTAGTTTTGTTCTACAGAATAAAATGGGTTTTACCTCATAGCAAATGTAATGGTTTCTCTGTGCAATTTAGTCCGTTTCATTTACTAAGGCATCGTTAATAATGGAACACCCTTCTCTGAGTATCGAACTGTATCAAAATACGCATTGTTCATTTTTAGGCCTATTGCCCAGACTACTTGTCAATTTCTTATGAGTTACCATGCAATGATACACTTGGTCTTATGCCAATGAGATTACCATAAATAAATATGGGTGTGACCGTCAACAACCTCGAGTCTAAATAAAGGTTCAAATGAGCCCTGAAACAAAATTAGTCGAGTATTTAAATGAATTGTTTACCTTATCAGCAATCTGTGCGAAACAGGCCTACTTTGCTTTAAATTGCGTCATCAACTGGATTCTCTCGGGTCATTCGAGCCTATCAGTTTATGTATTGGCCTATTCCAGTACTGGAGTGATGGAGGTTCCTATGAAGTGTATGCCTAAGGTTCATCTCTCTATTATATTCATATTTACACCAAAATAATGCTGTAATGAAATAGGCATTATTTATTGGCAATGTAATGAGGAATTACAATTTAATTTCACATAGATATATAGTGTTTATATGCTAATATAGCAAACGCAGCCTACATTCTCTAGCCAGTCAGTTGTTTCGATGGGGCGAAATATATTCTACAACAAAACCAAAATAAATGTCAAAGCTGTGCATATCATAGAATAGTATGTTGTATTAGATACATTGTGAGAACGGGCCAACATGATTCCATGACGTCTTGCCTCTCATTTACTCTCAAAATGACTTTACGCATTGGCCTGTCTTAGCATATATGAAGGCCGGTTTGCTATCGAATTGATGAACGTTTAGCCAAGTGTGCAATGATCGCAAATTGAGCAATAATGCATGTCAGTTAAAGCAAAAAGATGTCAAAAAAAGTGTATTATTTATTTTTACACAGATTAAAGATTACATTAATAAATTATTCTGTTTTTTGTTACTCGCGTCATTTTGTAGTTTATGTGACACAATGTGGGATAATGCCATGCAGTTAATAATTGTTTTGCACGAGGTAATATGGAATATGAGCAATAGGCCGATAATGCGCTTGGTTTATTGATAAGGGGCGAGCCAGGCCTGAGCCTCCTTGAGACAAAAAAGATATAGGCTTTTTATATGAATATGAAAAAGTGGCAGATGTGAAAGTCATAGGCCTATACTGTGAATACTATTCCTGTTTAATGATATCGAATCGCCTTTCCATGTGCGTACAATAAATGCATTGCTGCATTGATGACCGAAATAATCGACCCTAGTGACATATCCCAACAATATTATGTAGGCCTATTTCCTTGAAAGCTAACTTTTACATCAAGACGAGTTTCATGAATAAACTAAGCATGCATTTGACTTTTAGGCCTACGTATATTTTTTTTAGAGTACAATCAAACGTGCAAACCACAAATAGTAATAGCCTACCACTAATTATAGGCCTATCTTTCTTAAAATTAGCCTACAACAACAGCCCCTAACGTTGACATTTAAAGGCAAAAAATTTCCATACCTCTCATTTTGTTGATGCTTTTTTAATTGCAATAGCCTAAATAGGCGGTGTATGGATTTTTCACAATCTTAATGTCATTAATAAAATATGTCAAGGCTGCCAGTGCTTAAGAGGGGCCATTGAAATTTAGGAGCGTAAACACCCAGCACTGTAGGTTATGTCCCTCCTCCTCTAAGACGTGATTGGCTCAGAGCGGTCTTGACGACATATATTAACCCAAGTCGTTCTAAAGATGAAGCTGTGACATGGAGATCAAACGGATGAATTCTCGCTGTGTGCTCAGCTGAAAGGCTGTGTATTGCGTGCAGTGCACACTATAGCAACTGGGATTTTGAGCTTTTTTGTTATCTGACGCCCTATTTAATGAATCTGGTCCGAAATCCATAAAGAGTTTGGAGGGGAAAAGCTCGACCCGAAGTGCTTGAGGACGCAGTTCATCAGGCGAGACATGCACTGTATGTCTCGGTAATGGAAAAGAAGGAACTTTCTCACGTTGGGAATGGACAAATTGAGAACTGCGTGTAAGTAGCTGACAACATTATTCTATATTCCACACCATAGACTAGCAAAACAGAAAAAAATAACGTCTTAAAAACTCATGCATTGGTGAAGTTTCGTTTAGGGGTCTATATTGGACAATTATAAATAGCAGTACTTTTCAAATGACCAACTGAACCAAGTTACTTTTTATGAGGATAGCCTATTTTCTTAAAATCTTTTGGAGAACCTGACCATAATCGGAGGGTGCAAACGCATATTCGTTTCGTGGTTCGTTAGTAGCACAGTTTTTGGTCTGCTGCTGTGTCGCCATGAGTTTAGTTGGTGGGTTCCCTCACCATCCGGTGATGCATCATGACGGCTACTCCTTCGCCGCAGCAGCAGCTGCAAGCCGCTGTCACGAAGAGAACCCCTACTTCCACGGCTGGCTGATAAGCCACCCGGAGATGTCTCCCCCTGACTACAGTATGGCACCCTCGTACAGCCCCGACTACTCCACCGGGGGCCCGGCGTTAGACCACGCACACTACGGAGGTGGTATCCCCGGGGCTGGCGCCGCTGGGATCGGGATGGGACCTCGCCCTGTGAAACGGAGACCTACCGCGAACCGAAAGGAGAGGCGCAGGACTCAGAGCATCAACAGCGCCTTCTCGGAGCTCAGGGATTGCATTCCTAACGTTCCTGCGGATACTAAGTTGTCCAAAATAAAGACCCTCCGGTTGGCTACCAGCTATATCGCCTACCTCATGGACATTCTGGACAAGGACGAGCAGAACGGCGACGCAGAGGCCTTCAAAGCGGACTTCAAGAAGACAGAAGCAAAGGAGGAGAGGAGAAAGAAAGAAGTGGTAAGAAAAATCCATAATTTTAGGTATGCATGCTTATGCAAACATTGAGTAGCCTCCTGCAAGGCTTGACATTATGTGGATACATTATTTGCTTATTATCTAGGTTTGTAGTAGCCTATGCTGTGAAATTCAATAGGCTACAACCTTATAGCCTATAATATCTTGACATAAGCTACAATAATACTGGTTTTATGGAGACAACTAGGTTAAGTTACTGAATGATACCGATTCTAAACTGGCGTTGTAAAAGACTGTAAATATATGATCATTTTCATAATAATTTAGTAATAATAACTTCAGGCTCCCACACCACAGTAGGCCGAATAACAGCCTTGAATTGTGGACAGAAGCGGTGAGAAGTGGCGAGAAAGTAGTATTTCTCGACAACAATAACAGACATCTGATTTTTCCTTGTTCCCAACAGAATGAAGTTTTGAAAAACACAGCAAGCAGCAATGACAAGAAAACCAAAGGAAGGACTGGTTGGCCGCAGCATGTCTGGGCTTTGGAACTCAAACAGTGAATATCCTTCTTCTCCTCTCAAAAAAGACTTGAAATGATGAAAAAGTCTTGTTCTAGACTTTTATTTGTACTCTCACGTTATTTAATGGAATATTTATGTGCAATTGCCGCTACGGAGAGTGGATATTTGAAGAAAAAAACATTCCATTTTTAAGAGGAGGAGAAACAACACCCTTTGGTAAGGGACTGTGTCGTTCTCTAATGTTGTTGGTTGGATGTTTGTTGTTGTCCCAAGAGTGAACCAAACAGAAATGTTGCACACTATGGTGTATGTGAAGTCGTTCTCAATCTATCCCTATCTCTGTTTCTATCTCCATCTATCTCTCTTTGGATATAAATATCAATGGTGTTTGGCTGATGTCGTGGTTGCAGTTCAAGCAAATGTTTTATTTGAAAAAAAGTAATGAAGTGTTATGTTGTAATTTTTGTGGTCGTATACAGTATTTGATAGTGTTTTAAACAACTGTTTAGTCCACTCAATTGCACTTCCGTCCAGAGACGTGGAATTTAAATAATATTTGAGATGTAAACAATGTAATTAATTCAATAAACCACTGTTTTTTTTAAAACAAAGACAACCATCTTGTTGCATAATTAAAGTGAAAATACGAGGCAGACTTTAAAGGGTTTATTCTATACAAAACTCATTCAATGTAAAATATTTCGCTTGCAAGGTATGACATAGCCTACAAAAAACATTTGGGTCTTAGTAGACAAGTAGCTTTTTCCCTCGAATAGAAGTAAAAAGTAATATATAGTAAAAATGAAATGATGCATGTTCTCTTTGATCAGAGGTAGCCTAGGCCTGAATAATATTTCAAACTAAGGCCTATAGGCTTGCCTAGGCTATTCCTTCCCTAGTCCTGTCAAACAGCACTCATGCGATACATCCACGACAGCTCCTCAAGTAGAAACAGAAACATTCACACGCGCAGGAGAAACTGTCTATCTCGTGTTTGTAGGCTATTAGAACATGCGGGTTCTGATATAGGTGATCGTGTAGGAGATAAACATAGTCTAAGAAATAGCTTACAATGAAACTAAATATCTATTTGTGTAGACGAATAATTACTTTGTGGTCTTTTCGGTTAGCAATAAGCTGCCATAAGGGTAAATTATATTATTGTTTACATCAAACTTATGTTTATGGGGGCTATGACCAATTCAACAGAATCACCAGGAAATGTATCCATGCGTCAACAACATGCAACATGCTCATTGTTGTCATTTCCCTCCTTGATTATAGGCCTCGTATTATTATCATGACGAGTATTATGATGGACAATATTATTAGTAGACTATTTTTACATACTATTATCATTAGCCCAATCATTTAGATTATTGTTATTACATGGTAATTCCTCATTTACAGCCCTGCTAGTAGTGTAATACTGGTACCTATAGGCTAGTATCGGTGTTGTTGTCATTCAATATCACCAGGAAGAAATAAAGAAATAGACTAACACTACTAGGCTGCACTATCTTGGTTATAAGAATTGTAGACCTACTAATAGGCTAGTATAGTGGAATAATTCCTCAACATTGAGACCACCGAGTTAACCACAATTGTTATATATTAAACAATAACAATGTGTATTATTTCTTGGTGCTAGTGACTTCACTTTCCATGTTATGAAGTTATTTCCTATTTCAAAACATTTTATATTAACTGCATAATAGCGATAGACTACTCATACTTGATGGTCTAAGTAACAAACCATCCTATTTCTTTAGGCTCCATGACCAACCCTTGTAAAGATGTAAACATGGTGGCAGAAAAAGGCTATATAGGCTTGAAATTCCATTGGTTAATTATGGCATTCCACTCTTCTCGCCCAAATCACAAGAGGACGAGACAGAGCGGAGCCGGGAAAAAATGTGGATTTTGACGTTAAAAGCTGGTTGGTCCATGGAAGGTAGATTGTCGAGGCACGAGAGAGGGCCCAGCTATCGGATGTTCGTGTGATTGATAGCGTGCCTATCAAAATGCGGCGCTGAAGTGCCTTTTTAGGGTTGGGGGTTGAGAGCGGACGATGAAACCTGTAGCCTATGCATAAAATCATTTTGGATATGACTAATATCCTACTTCTGGTAGAAAATAATAGCCTATTGTTCTATAAAAATGCTAGATATTTTTTTTTTTGAAATGCACGTCACTAATCAAACATTACAACAAAACCAAAACAAAACATTACGTCTACAGCCTACTTCACTTATCAATGTGTGTCAGCTGCGCAATTATAGACTAGGCCTGCAACATAAAAGCCTGTAACATAACATTTTGTATTTCACATGTCTATTTCACACTTTTGCCCACTGCATCACAGCTTGGTAGATGTTTATTAGAGAGTAGACTGGACTTAAACTGTTTGTCCTAAGAATAATCGTTACTTGTCCTTTGAATGCATGGTTGGTGAGTAAACAGACCTCGGATAGGCTACAACAGACCAAATGATTCTTCACGAGAAGCTATGCAATTAAAGTGACATCTACAGCAACGTAAATCAGAAGAGGATTGGACACGCCGAAGATTTACAGTCCATCCGATTGCATTAGATAATTGTAACACGAAATTGGCTTGTTTCACGAGTCCGAAGTATGATAATTATGGATAATTTGTTGTCTGCCCGTGTCAAAATGGCGTCCGAAATAGTATCAACTGGCTTGACAAATAGATGACCTGAAACGGACCTGCTGCTGTTTTATTGATAGAAGGATAAAACTCATAGGCCAACTCATTGACCTATAGGCTACATACATTGTTTTCAGCCGGTTGAGCTCACCATTCTCAAATCAATGCAAATGCAGTAGGAAGCAATAACCTGGTCCAATGTGCCAATCAAATGTGCCAAATGTTGATTCATCCACTGTGCTCTCCCAAAATAATATCGTTTGCAGGATGGCTGGTATGCATAGGCCTACAATAGAAAAGCTGTAATGTATTAATTGCACACTGCATACGATCAAAATTAGTGTGAATGGGCCAATAATGTCCTTTGTTCTCTTGTTTAATTCCCTCTAATAACGGCAGTGGACTGGACTTACAGCATGATAGACTTCTCGAAGTGTGGAATAAGATTTTTCCCTGGTATTACAAACATCTGCGAACGATTAGTTCATAAGACCCTCCTACCCATTTTTTTCTCTCCCTGCAGTCTCAACGTGGGCCGGTAGACATGTTGACGTCGGATCAGACGGTTCGAAGCTATCCTGCTGCAACACTGAACGTAATGACGCGGTGCGTTCCACTCGCAATCTGGAAAAAGGATAAATCTTAAGGCATATTTTCTATCAAGCCCATATAGGGAAACTATGGCATCAATTAATTGACAAAGGAGTATGTATGGTTATGCATGTGTTGGTATTTTAAAGGGAGACACAGGCCTAGCCTATTTAAATGCTGCAAAAAAACAACTCTTGCAGAACTATAAAAGCGCACACTCATAACAGACTGCAAACGTACTATATATAACCCACGTGAGTCAAAATCCTTCCATGATGAAGTTATAGATCGCGTTCCTCTGTTCAGACTTTGCCTGCATAAAGCAATGGTTGCGTGCGCCACATCATCGATTGACAGATTGCAACAACATATGATGTGGTTAGCTGATAGGTAAAATACCTATCCAGGCGTTGTAAGATCAGCGCCTGGACAGAGGAACTAGTTCACTATCTACTGAGCTAGGCCTATGATTTGTTATGGTCTACTACTAAAACAAAGGCCTATGAAACTTTGAATCATTGTAAACAAAGGTTATATTCCAACAGTGCAACTGTTGATTAAAAATAAGATATTGCGCTGCAGTGGGGATATATTTTAATATAGCTGGGACAAATATCTGATTACAAAGAGGATAGGGCACAATTAACTAATGATCTAAAAGGCACAGACCGAGTGACATATTCATGCGTACATTTTTGTTTTACACACAATGAGAGTTATTACGCATACGGTTAGAATTTGGCCGCACAAAAAAAACCATATGGCCACATCTTTATTGATCATTTAAAAAACACATTATGTAGGTAACAGGACCAACAGAAAAAATAAGTTTAATAATATGCCAGGACAACACATAAGAGCATTTTCCGCCAATACAACCCACTGGGCACAGACATCAGTTCAACGTCTAGTTTTGATTTACATCTGGTTTAGTTGTTAACTAACGTGAATTCAACGTGAAATCAACAACAAAAATGTCACCAAGTCATTGGATTTAGGTTAAAGGTTGGGTGAAAAAAATACGAAAATCCCTAATGTTGATGACTTTTTTCAAATCCAATCAGTTTTCCACGGGATTCAACTTCATCAAATTGAATGTTTTTGTTGAAATTACGTGGACATAACGTGGATTCAACCAGTTTTTGCCCAGTGGGGAGTTAGATGAAATCATGTTTATGTCTCAAGTTTAGTGCCATAAGACTGAGTGGCACGGGTTATCAGTGTTTTCAAAAGCATCAACTGGCACTACATATTGACTTTCAACAATGCATCGCCGTTAAAAAATAACTCAAATTTAGGCAAGATAAAGGACGCATGTCTAGGCTCCAAGTGGAAATATTACTAGGTCGAGAGAATTACTTTATTTACCATGATAATTCAATGAAGGATGAGTAAAATCATGGCCTATATGCAACAACTAATGAAAAAAAATATATATAAATTCAGTGTGCAACAGCATTGCGAATGTTTTTACTTCACGTTTGCCGCGCATAAAGATGATGCTAGCTTTTTAGAGATCATGAAATCAGTTCGAGTCCAGGAACATCTCTTGACCTGTGTGACCAGAATATTCCGCGACACTTATCTGTGTGCCATCTCCAATCATTGCGAATAATACGTAAAATATATCCCCAAAAACAGACAACGGACCTGACATCAATCGACCTTTATGCGAAACCTCTTATAGGCATACTTTTACGCGCAATGTTGTGCGGAAGATCAGGCCTGTGCCCTGTGTTGCTGTCAGTTGTGACAGTTCCCAGATGGGACCTGCTACT